ATACAAAAAAGTCGCAATCATTTTTGTCCATCAAACTTCAAATCGAATGGTTATAATAGTGTCATTAACTAGGCTCAAAGTTCAGAAATTTTTTTTCAAACTTCATAACAGACGTCAACCCATATAATTTTGCATCTAAATACTAGAAGTAGATGTGCCCTCCTATAACAAAGATAAATGGTGTCATGGTATACACTCCGTTCCTTAAAAAGATAAATTTTAACTCATCTCTAATTTTACTGTTATTTAAATAATTACCTAATTTTTTTCTGTTATTAATTTAAAATGACCAAATTGTCCATATTATGGATCTTCCAGATCCGAAATTTAGTCAGACGGAAGTTTGTAAAATAATGGATCTTGAAGATACAAGATGTAAAAAGTCAAAAAATTCCAAAAATTCGGATTTTAAAAATCCGAAATTTGAAGTTGTTCAGATTTTTCATATTTTCATCCAGAATTTTCGTAATCAAATTTTAAAAGATCCAAATTTTCCAGAAATTCGAATTTTTGAAATCCAAAATTTTAAGTTTTTGATTTTCAAAATTCTAAATTTCCAAAATTTCAAACTTCGAAAATCCAAAGTTACTTTTGTTGTCACAGGACACTTGTGGGTTTGAACTAGATAAACTTTCGGATTTTCAAAATCTGAATCCACTAGAATTTCGTATCTTGAAGATCCAACAAAGGGGTATTTTTGGGGAAAAAAACTGGAGGCATGAACGTAAACTTAAAATTTTAGAAAGGACTTTTTTTAAAAAAAATAATTATATTTAGGGGGATATGGGCTTAAGTTTCTCGTTTAAGTACTTAAAAAAAATAGATACCTATTAATATTCCCTACTTTTTTTCCTAAAATAGGTAATTAAGTATTTGAAAATATAAGAAATTTTTTGGACAAATTTTATTTTAATTGTATGTATTTTTAAGTATGTCATCTAATACTATGGTGATTCGAATATTATATTTGCTACGACTTACTGTTACTACCGTTTTATTTGAGTCTTTTATCTTGTATAATTAAAAAAAGATTATGGCAATTATCTCCATCTTCAATTAGGCAGCTTATTTTAATTTAATACTAGCATGTGTCTGGAGCATACTTTATTTCCACTCCCTCACTCATTTGACCTGCTTGGGAGGATTTTTTGAATCTGAAATTTTGTGAGCTTTTTAAATTACTAAACGAGAATTCTAAAAAAAAGTGACTTTAAATTTTCATTTAGAATTCTATTTTTTTTTTGGTAAAATATCTCTATATTTTTTATTTTTAAGTGTTTTTTTAATATAAACTCAAGGTTTTTAAAGTTCTAACCAATGGTTTAAAAAAAGGATCGGTGACCCGGATGGGGCACCTCAAAAACAGATCCGGATCGGTGAATCGGCGATCCGGATCGGGAATCGGCTGAATCGGTCAGATTAAAGCTTCAAAAAAATCCGAAAAAATTATTAAAACTCATTATAAATGTTTTTTTTAGGAATCTAATAAAAAATGAGGGTACTACATTATTAACTTTCATTTTTTTTTATCAATTTGTGAATATTGAGATGTTCTTTCCCTGTATAAATTTATTTTAACTATTAAATTTGCATCACATAAAAGAAAAATCATAGAATTATCATGGATAAAATATATAATTATATATGGACTATTATAAAGAGTAGACTAATCAATGAAAGAATGGCCATTAAAATCTCGTTTTGGCGAAAACCCTAACCCGCTAAAAACACCCAAACTATTACAACCTAACTAACTATAATCCAAAATTATTACAACCTCACTGATTATAATATTATATACTGAAATTATAATTATTAGTTTACATTTTATAATTATTTTATTAGACAAATAATGACAAATTTAAAATATTTTATAATATTATTTAATTTAAAATATATTAGTGACAACTGTAAGAAAAATATTACATTACATGATTTATAATGTAAAAATTCACAAATAAAATAAAAGATTTGGTTATCAATGTAAAAATTAATAAAATGCGTACAAATTTTAGAAATAACACTTCAATTTTTCAAAAATTTATTTTTTTAGGTTTCTATAATAAATTTAGTAAAAGAGATTATTAGTAGAAAGATGGAGATTTCAAATAGAATAAACTTTTTATTTTCATTTTTTTATACCTTTCATATTATTTACAAAAATAATTATACCACTATATACAACAAAAATTAACGGTTATATAAAAATTTCATTTTTTTAGTTTTCATTTTTTTTTGTCTTTTATATTATTTACAAAAATATTTATATTTATTCCAACCACTATAAACACAACAAAAATATTTATATTTATACCAACTACTATATATACAACAAAAATATAACACATGCCCAAGGGGATTCGAAAACAACAAAAATATTTATACCAACCACGATATACACAACAAAAATGCAATACATGCCCAAGGGGATTCGACCTTGGGACCTCAAGTAAAAAAATTCAAAGCCATAACCATCAAGCCATCTAACTACATGTGGTTATAAATTGCTGATTAATAGACTATATTATTTCGTTTTCATTTAATGATGTTTGGGAATTATCCCATATCGAAAGATGGGTATTCAAATTTGGTATATAAATATCTATGCAATATGAATTATAAAATGTGTATAGAAATATTAAGGCAACTTTACACATGCGCTCGGACACATGTGTACACGTGTGAGTGTGCGTGGGGCACGCTCTCACGTGCGCTCGGATACACGTGTGCATGTGTGAGTGTGTGTGGGGGCATGTTCGCACGTGTGCTCGTACACACGCGTGCACGTGTGAGTGTGAGTGGGGGCACGCTTGCACGTGTTCTTGGACACACGTGTGCACGTGTGAGTGTGTGTGGGGGCACGCTCGCACGTGCGCTCGGACACACGTGTGCACGTGCGCTCGGACACACGTGTGCATGTGTGAGTGTGTGTGGGG